AAACCCTGTCTCGAAAAACCAAAAAAAAAAAAAAAAAAAGAGATGAAGGAAAAGACAAACAAAAAACAGGAAGGAATATTTGTTCCATCTCCCCATTCTGGCTTAGTTCATGGAGTAGGCTACATCTAACTTCAAAGCTGAGAGTGGTTGCCTCAACTCATAGACAGAGAGCTTGGTAGGAGATCACCCCAAAGACAAATAACATCACCCTAAAGCTGAAGGGAAATCACCCCAAAATTAAAGGACATCATCCCAAAGCTGAAGGATAAGTATGGTGGTTCGAATAAGAATGGCCCCCATACACTCATAGATTTGAATGCTTAGTCACCAGGGAGTGGCACTATTAGGAGGTGTGGCCTTGTTGGAATGGTATGTCACTGGAGATGGGCTTTGAGGTTTCAGAAGCTCAAACTAGGCCCAGTGGCTCACTCTCTCTTCCTGCTGTCTGCCTATCCAAATGTAGAACTCTTGGCTACATTTCCAGCACCATGTCTGCCTGCATGCCACCATGCTTCCCACCATGATGGCATTGGACTAAACCACTAAACCTGTAAGCAAGCCTCCAGTGAAATGTTTCCTTTATAAGAGTTGCTGTGGTCATGGTGTCTCTTCCTGACAATAATAACTCTAAGACAGTGCACCCACCAAGCAGAAACAGACCTGATGTCCTGCTTTCTCTTAAGTGTTGAAAGTAGCTATTGAAGAAGCCATAGACCAGAATTGTTCATCCATGAACTGTCACATCTAAAAATACCCAGACAAAGAGCCTGGAGACTGAATGTCAGTGAGAGAGATCTAAAAAGGACAGGCAACACTACCAGAGAGCTGAATTGGAGATGGCAAGCTCAAGACTAAACAGCATTTTGAAAATGTACAATACTAACAACATTACAAAGTTCTTATACTACTTAAGAGGTAAGCTAACGTCAGAGATTTAGGAAACAGTATTTGAGACCATGAACACAAACGTGTCAAAGTAGTGAAAGCAATTTTGACAGAGTCTTTATTATAAAAATATGTCAGTAGTCAGATTGGAAGATTTTTTTTTTGAATACTAAAATAAAAGGTCTACATGAGAAAAGAGGGGCAGGCTGTATAGTTCAGGAGAGCACTGACTTGCACCAAACTGATCCTCAGCACCAAGAGATAAAATTTACGGATTAAAACTTTAAAAATAAAAAGAGAAAAATCTCACAAAACATAAGAAAAACCATGCAGGCAAAAACAAGTAATGAAGCATATTGATTAAAACGTGCACACTAAACTGATGGGGCAAAAACTGCTGTTTGACATAAAACTAAGGTCAAAATTCTGTTATCTCCAAGAAATGCAAATAGGCCCAATTATATATCAGTTACTTATCAAGTTTAGTTTAAGATTTATCATAAGTCAAGGTGGTGGCACTTGTCTGTCATCCTAGCATTTAGGAGGTTGAAGTAGGAGGATCTTGAGTTCAAGGTCAACCAATGTTATATAGTGAGACCCTACCTGAAAACAAAAGATTTACCATGTCTTATAACATATTACAAAAATATAAACACCAAAATAGTAAAGGTTACTGCCATAAATTTATTATTAAAATGATACAGCATTATAATGTATAGCATATGACTATTATGTATATGTATAGTATGACTATAAAAATAGTTGAACATGACATCTTAATGTTTAAAACACTATGGAGAATATGATCTGAAGCTATTAAAATTGGCAGATGTCATTGTATCTTAAAACTTTAACAGTACAACACAGCAGATAAGCAGTCAAATATCTCCCCAGAGCACAAGAACACACATCAACATCCCATCCCTCAGTGTCTCTACAGCTTCTGAGGATGCATAAAGCACCATAGCACTATCGCTGCAAATACTGTTCCTGTTTGCTGTTCTGAGACTCCCTGGATTTCAGGTTGTGCTGTCTAATCAATCTCTGCCACATCTCTGTTCTCTGATCTGTAATGCTTGTTTTAAAAGCCACTCAATAGATATGTATATCACAGACAATAAGCATATAATAAAATACTTGTCAAATAAACAAATGTATGACAGTGAGAATCATAGCCACAATCTTGCCCAGATGGTCACATGGGTTGAAAAGAATTCCAAATATATAAATAGTGCTTCCCTTCCTGTCCTCATACTGGCTAGTTCATGATCATTATTTCCTTGAAATGCATAGCTGGCCTGTGATTTAATATTATTGACTAGGATCCAATATGTATGAACTCAGTGCAGTGAGACCTGTTCTTTTGTAAAAATGATTTAAGGCAATAAAAATGTCCAACAAAACTACTAAGTACCAAATAACGTTTACATAATGTACATCCACTGACCTTGTAAGGATGTAAGGTGAAAACGAAGCTGGGTTGTCCTGCTCTGAGAAGAGGGGCATAGTTCCTCCCATTATCCACAGGCGGAAATACAAAATGACAGTCACCTTAGGAACAAGAAGACCTGATGAAATGTCCACCTACATCTCTTCCATTTTTGTTCATGTATTCTGACCCTCTATCAAGAAGTGGAGTCAGCTGTCCCCTCCCCTTACAGCTGATAGCTAAGCCTGCCTGTGTAACCCCAGCCCCAAATCATGACATAGGGAACCATTCAGCTGAGCTTCCAAACTAAAGCCTCCTGGACAAGCGGCAGTAGCTGTATCCACACCTCTGGATACTGATACATCCAGGTCATTGTGAAAACACTTTGAAAGGGACTTTAAAACCCCATGTTGTTCACATTATGCCATCAGGTTCCCGTGTATGCTTTCACACTCACCTTTGCTAAAAAGCAACATTTACTACCTATAAACCTTCCCTAAGAGATGATGTTGATAGTTGAGTTTATTAAGTAATGTGGAGCATGTCTCTGAGTGGAGACTAGGTGAAAATACCCTTACTAGCTATATTCAAAGTATACATTATATACTTACATAACTGACGACCAAAATGGCCCGTTTTAAAAATGGTCTTAGGGTAAGCAGGAAATTCCCGTTGCTGCTTCCTGTCAGACACCTGAAACAGGAAAGGAAAGGAAAGATGAACATCTAAGAGTGACCATCTACAGCACAATGCTCCTGTCTGTGAAGACGCTGAGTTCTGAGAAGATACCAAGAGCTTTGGAGCCAGAGCATGTGGGTTTCAACACCCCATTCTGCCACTTGCAGCTTGGGGAGTGGGAACAGGTGTCTTCATTTCTCTGCACATCTATTTTGCTCATTTAAACAGCAATAATACCTACTCTGTGGGAACATTGTTAGGAATAAGTGAAATAATAAATAGAACAGGACCTAGAATTGTTAGCTATAAATATTGCCATTTGCCCCTGATTAACCTACACACTGATAACATGAGTTTACATTTACCTGCTTCATACAATTTAGGGGCACAATGTCTTCAAAGTATCTCACAATTGTCTTGTCCCTGAAGAACAAGGATGCCAAGATTATGTGAAGTGAAATAGACTGTGCTTCTGGGGTGGGTCAAAGACAGAGCTCTCACACACTCACTTGTTTTCTTACTTGCTTACTGTCCTCTGTCCTAGGAAACAAATTAGATTGCAGGAATGTCAACTTCAGAGGTAAGAGGTTAATGGTCACCCTGCATCTGCCACAGTCCCCACTGTTTCAAAGTAGGAGCTGCAGCTTTATGAATGGGACTGGCTGGCTTCTGTGACATAGAAGCAAGAGCTGAGGTTAACAAGCCCCCTGTGAAAACATAAAAGGGTCCATCTTATCCTCCATGCAGGCTTGCACACTTGAGTCAAAGCAGAGAAAAGAAGTTGAACTGAATCACATAATCCCTCTGGCATTCCCCTCCTTATTTTCCCTGGCCCTCTTCATTTAGTTCTTTCACTCCATTTAATCTGTTTCTTCCTGCAAAGGATTTCTCTACTGAAGTCTGCATTTGAATGAGGGCTCTTCCTTGGAGAGAAACTTTGGTCCAGACAATGCCTCTTCAGTAAAACCCAAGTGGGCTAGTGTCCTGCAGAGACAGGTCTACCTTGAGTCTGCTTACTGAAGATGTGTGGCCCCTGCCCTGTAGTGGAGCAAGTATTTTGTAACTGCAAGGAAGTGACAGCTTTACTCCAAAAGCAGGTCTCTTTCTCAGGACTTCTTTCTGGCTCAGAAGAATATCTGGAAGTGATGCATGCTCAGAACTGGCTAGCCAAGCGCTTGGTGATTAAAGAAAACGAGCAGGGGTGAGGCCACCAAATAAAGTTTGTTGCTCACAAGTTCTGCATAGGCCCACCTTCTAGAGCAGCTCTGAGCCCTTTCTTCCCTTCTGAGACCACAGCAGAAAGTTTGGCATGAGGCTAGGTCAGAGTCACTGCAGCTGCTGTAGAAGGGTACACAGGCTGTCCCTGAACGGGCTTTAGAGAATCTGGAATAGTACAGGTGTGTGTCCTTGGCTTTTGTGTTTGGGCAGCTGAGTCTAAGATTCTCATAGTAGTAGTACAAAAACACACATCCTTCTCTGGTCTCTGCCTCTTTCTGACTATCATTCTCAGGTAAATTAAACCAAGACCAGACCTTGGCACTTCTAATTCTCCAAGGAAGCAGGACAACTCTCAGCAGAAAGGTAAAGGAGACAGACAGGGGCCAGAAAGGGTGCCGAGGAGGGCAATGGGTGGGACAGTGTCTGAACTTTCCAGGTAGCTGCTCTTGGAGACTTCATTTCTCAAGCTCCCTCTCCAACTTGCTTAACACTGGAAAAATTACATGTGGCTTTCCTTTCTATAGAGCAAGCCACACAGTTAGTGGTTTTTCTTGAAGTTAAACTTAGACGAAGCTGTCATACATCACTTCTGACGGTTTGCTACAATGGCTATTTTAGTAACTGTATTTATAATGCTTCCCCTAGTTCAGTGAGTCTTGGTGACACTCTATTTCCACAAGAAGTTAGGATAAGGGTACCAGATAATTTACTCTCAAAATATAACATCCTAAGGTCACACAAGTTTGAAATGGTACAGGGATTCTTGGTGGAAAAACAAGATGTCAAGATTTCTGTTTTAAGCTGTGGGCCCACAGTGAATGGCAAAGTGATACATAGGGCATGGTGCCATGTCTGGAGAAGCACTAGCCAGGTGGAGAGTATGCCATGGGCTCTGGTTCTCTACATTTCCTCCTCCACTCCACCTCAGAGCTGGACAGTGGGACTTCCCCCTTGATTCACTTCTTATGTACTATGGAACAGACCTGAATAATGCCAAGAGTAACAATAGCATTAGTAAAAGTAACAACTAACAGTACATGTCAGACACGTATTTTGATTTAAATATGACAGCTTATCTACCATTTAGAATAATTCCACAAGACCAAAAAATTAGAAGCGACAATTTTTAAACCTGATTTTTCAGCTATTCATTTCAATCGTAAGAAAAACATGCTAAAACTACACTTTATTTATCTTTGTGTTTACTTATTTTTTTTTTTAGACAGGGTGTCACCAAGTTGTCTGTTGTGCTGGGACTCACTAGGTAGCCCAGGCTGGCCTCAAACTCATGGCAATCCTCCTACCCTAGACTCTATTATACTAAGAGTACAGATGTGTGCTGCCAAGCCTGGCTAGGGACACTTTAATTTTAGCAAATTCTCCATGGAATTTGCAAATTCCTTACAAAACTACAGAAAGCACCAACAATAGCCAATTCTAAGCCACTATGAAAGCCAAGAATAAGAACCATGGATTGAGGCTTCTGTCCCTTCGTGTTCTCGACTTACATCAAGACTGCAGGGTCCCAGTTTTCTTCCTTTATCCAAGAGCTAGTTAAGTAGCCTTGGGGACCCCTAAAAGATTGCAATTACTGGATGTTTTCATCAATTGATGACATCAGAAATCACTGAAGAAACAGAGAAACCAAATTTCAAGAAAAAGGATGTCATGGCATCCATGAAGAAACACTACTTCGAAGAGATAATTAGAACACTCAGTTGTACATGATGATTTAGCACCAGCGTAGGAGACTGGTATTGTCAAATGAAGCATTTTAACCACCTTCAACTTCCACCACATAAAAACAAAAGATCAAGATTATCCAAAGTGATTCCCCCAATTTTTGCTCCCCTACACTGCAGGTCTTCTGATAAGTGAAGCAGGCAGACTAGCACACCACTGCATGTCTAGGGTGGCATTTCTTTTTATTTTCAGCTAAAACTTGAAGGTGAAAGCTGAGCATGCTCAGAGGTGCTTCTGTCTGCCAAGTTGACTTTGAAGACTTTGAATTTAGCATGCTTCAAAAATGTCTCTATAGTCCTCGCTTCTCAGGAATGTGCTCACTTCTGTGTGAATATGTACATATAGGCTCCTGACAAAATCCCCATGTTTCCCATTTAGAGAGAATGTTGCTTTGTAAATGATTCTCTTGCTTCCCTTGCCTGCAGCACACAATGATCTTTTTCCATCTTTTATTTTGTGTCTGTTCTCCATTTGGCTTTGTACTCAATAAGACTCAGACCCATTGTGTTCAGTTATACATCCACTGTCTCAGTTGGTTGTGTTAAATACTCAGTGTTAAAACTGAAACTCATCCTTCAGTTGCTTAGCCCTCATACCCTGTGGAGAGACTTTAGTAGAGACCAAAACAACAGCGACACCAAATCACCCACCCAGGGTCTGTGCGTCACTGACATTTGTTAATGCAGTCACCATGTTGATAGATATTAATACTGGTGATAACTATCCAGGAAGACTCTGGAGTCAGAACTTTCTTCTAGGTCTGTCTGGGTACTTTCTTGTAAATTTCATTTTCAGCAAGAACCCTGCTATGTCAATTTTCCAAGACCCC